GGAGACTGCTCAACTGTTCGCAGACTTCAGATCCGCATTCCATGCTCCTGATGATCGAGTAGGTATCACTCCTTTAGAAACACATGGACACCCCCGTCAGGACTGTTGGCTCTCCCGATAATTCTAAACGCTTCGCATATCCCCACCAGCCCGTCCAGAAATGAGTCCCAGGGGAGTTGGGGTGATGAGGGAAGCGGGGGAGCATGCAGAAGAACAAAGGGAGAAGATATAGGAGGATTCGCCGTCGTCGGAGTAGGAGGAGGAAGAGGAGGAGCAGGAGGAGGAGGGGGAGGAGGAGGAGGAGGACGATGAGGAGGAGGCGATGGAGGAGGGCGAGGACGTGGAGGACGAGAAGGAGGAGAAAGAGAAGGAGGAGGAGGAGGAGGAGGAGGAGGAGGAGGGGGAGGAGGGAGGAGGAAAAACAAGAGGAGGAGGAGGAGGAGGAGGAGGAGGAGGAGGAGGAGGAGGATACGGATACGGATACGGATACGGATACGGATCCCCGAACGCGGTGCGGCCCCTGCGGGGGGCTGGGGAAAAGTGCTCCGTGGCGCGTGGGAGAGCGCCCGCCTTCCCGGTCCTCCTCCCATCCCTTGTTAAACCACCTTCTTAAGAGAAACCACTATTCTTGAACCACCTTCTTGAAACCGCCTTATTAATCGCGACCGTGTAGCTGACGGCATGCGGTAAATGATGATGTGCGCTGCTTCCACCTGTCCCTGTTCTGGGCTTCGTCCTTCCAGAACAGCGAATATTCTCGCAAATCGTCCTCCCGGCGGAACCAGCGTGTGCGCCACGGTCTCCGTGGCCTCCCTCCCGCCAAGCTTCGCGTGGCGCACCACTCAGCGTCGCGCCACTCCACTGTCCTTTTGCACCACCTGTCTGCCGGCATTCTCGCAATGTGCCCCGCCCATCGCCATTTTGTAGCTAAGAACGTGTGTACCCAAATTGCACCCCGCATTCATTAGCAGCATCGCGCGCAACGTGCGTGGCGCGAAAAATCCAAGAAACCCACTGCTCTTGAGGCCGGCGTTTGATGCCCACAATTCTTCGAAGCATATCGTTCTGAGTTGACTACAGGCGTCTTTTCTCCTCCTCGGTAGGCAACCACGATTCGCAACACCAGAGGACGCTTTTCGATACGCAGGCATCGAACAGCCGAAGGCGCTTTCTCAACAGGCCGCGCCTAGGGTTCAGAAGCGGCCACAGCTGATGAAATTTTGCCCACCCAGCCTTGATGCGCGAGGAGATCTCCTTGCTAGTGCGGCCAACAAGGGTGAACTGCGTGCCGAGAATTTTAAAGCCGGTTGTAGCTGATACGACGGGAAATTGATGCCCATGCACTTCAAGATGTCCTCGGTCATCGGCGCTGTTGTGCTGGATGAAACACTTATCTACATTCAGCGACAGACCTCTCTCTGCCAGCTCCGTCATCGCGTCTCCAATCATCTGCTGCAGCGCGTCTGCTGATCGCGCCACCATAGTCGTGTCATCTGCAAACATCACGTGGCTCGGCCTTCTGCTTCCGTCCTCCTGCGAGCCGATGATCGTTCCCAAATTCTTTGCGTCCCAGGCCTCGCGTAATTTCCTGAAGATGGTTCTAGTGGCATTGTTAAACAACAGTGGCGAGATCGGATCTCCCTGCCGGACTCCACGTTGAATTTCAAATTCTGCGCTCGTTGTGGATCCGTCCAGCTGGACATGCGCTTTGAGATTGCAATACAGTTGCCGGAGCGTGCGAACCGTGGCCGGGTCCGCCCCTGCCTCCTCCAGCGCCTCGAACACAGCAGCGTGCAGCATCTTGTCGAACGCTTTTTCCAGATCTAGCGATGCCATCCAAACTTCCTCCCCCCACTCCTCCGCCTTTTCTGCGACTGCCCGTAGAGTGTGTACCACGTCTGAACAACTGTAACCAGAACGGAACCTGGCCTGCTCGGGCTGGAGCTTCGATTCCAAAAGTGTCTTGGTTCTGGCCACAAGCACTGTTGAAAACGCCTTATACATAACGGGTAAGATGCTGATGGGTCTGTAGTTCTTAGGAAGCATCGCGTCGCCCTTCTTGTACAGGACGATGATTTGCTGGTCAGCCACCCGTGTGGCAAGACGTCTGCCCCCTGAAGGATTCTTCTCGTGAACAGATCAGCCATTACTTGCAATAGCTTCTGGTGCCCCGTTTGTAGCATCTCAGCGACCACACCATCCGCAGCGCATGTTTTGCCCTTCTTCATGCGTTTCAGGACGGCCTCCAACTCCTGCACTGTGAGTGGCTCAGCAGCATCCCCGGCATCATTTCGGCCCAGGTTGGGTGTTCCGGGTTCCGCAGCATACAGGAGGAGGAGCAGGAGGAGGAGGAGGAGGAGGAGGAGGAGGAGGAGGACAATGCCGAGCTTGGGGGCCTCTTGGGCCGTCTTTGGGGCCTCTTGGCGGTCCCGGGGGCCTCCTGCGTATCTCGGGTAGCTTCTTGGGGCCTCTTGGGGGTCTCTTGGGAGCCTCTTGGAGGCCTCTTGGGAGCCTCTTGGGGCCTCTTGGGGCCCTCTTGGGGCGCTCTTGGGGCGCTCTTGGGAGCCTTCGGGGCACTCTTGGGGCCATGTTGGAGGAGATCTATCAAAGAAGGGGGGTTGTCAATTCGCGTTGCCCCTCTAGAGTGCCTCGAATCGCCACTTGGGCCCCAAAAGAGGCCAACATCCTTCCAAAACCTAGGGACACCAATGTTTTTTTGCTTTCTCGCCTTTTCGCTCTTGGAGCCGTCTTGGGCCATCTTGGACGCCCCAACGACCCGCGGAACCCTCCGTCCAGGTCCAGGGGAGGGGGTAGGGGGAGGGGTAAACCCTTCCCCGAAGGGGAAGAAGGAGGTTGGAAGAGGAAACTCTCTAGACCACCGACGCTCAGAGGGCTGGTGGCATTGGTGCCAGGACAACTTTGCTGGGCTTCTCTCATTTGGCGTGGTTCTGGCTTCCTTTGCCGCGGGTCGCGGGGCCCGTCGGGGTAGCGCGGCACCCGTGCTTCTGCGTGACCTGGCCCTGGGCCCAGTCTCCAGCTGGCGAATTGCCTCAGGTCCCGTCAGTATCAGCGTCTGAGGTTAGGCTTGCGACCTTGGGTTCCTTCTGAACAACTCGTTTATCGAGCTGTGCTTGCTTGCTTGTGTTATTGGTTTGGAGTTGCATTTTGGGAATACGCAGCTATTGGATGTTCGCCAGCGCATCTGACTACTTGTTATGTGCTTCTTGGGGGCCTGGGTGGTGCATGTTGTTGCAGTCCTGAGTGCCCTGTGCCGCGGGGTCTGGACTTTGGCTCGATTGCATTTTTAGACTAGGCGCCTTCTTGCTGGCTGACGCGGTTGCCCCGGGGGTCATTGCCGGTGCCAGCGTTGCCCCCGCTTTTCCGGTCCTCTTTTGATTTGGGCCCGCCGACGCCCCCCCTCTTGGCCTCGCCCCTCCCTTCCCCGCCCTCTGCTGCGTCGGCCGTCGGGCCCTTGACGCCGAGCGCGATGTTGCCCGCTTCGTTCTGGTCGAATGCTTCGTTCACAAGTCCGCTCTCAGTTGCGCTTGCGGGCCGCTCCGTCAGGCACGTCGTAGGGATGCATCTTTGAAGCCCCGATTGACTCGGCAGGTTGAGGCTGCCGGTGCAGCGCCACCCCCCGCTTCGGGCTGCCATTCAACATGTCCGTATTCCTAGGCTCGCCCCTTTCTTCCCAGGCGCTTCGAGTTTGCCCTCGGCTGATTGGGGGCTGTCCGTAACTTGGTCGCAGATGCACTTGCGGTGCTTGCCCTGCAGCGCGCGTGGTCCTGGCCAGTTCAAGCGTTCTGCTCTTTCTTTGTTGGGTATTCGTTGTTGTGTGTTTCTGTGTTATCTTGTTCCCTCCCCCGCGTGACCCGCGCGGCTTCTGCTGTCGTCGCTGGCGCTGTTGCCGCGCGCCCACTTCGCGTGTCTTTCCTACTGTTGTTCCGCTGCGCCTCTGCTGTTGCCGCCGGCAGCTTTTCGGTTGCCTTCCGCCGCGGCTTCCTGATCCTGGATCCTGGTCTGCCCGGGCGCGCTTTGGCATGCGTGGTTCGGATGCATTGGTCTCCAAGCTGGCAGCCGTGCCTCCCTTGACTGCTTTCTGCTGTGAGCGAGTGCCTCTCTTTCCGCGGCCCGCGCCATCCGCCTCCCTTTCGGACAAGTGCATCGGCGGGATGCTGCTCCCGCCTTCCCTCTGGGGGCGTCGCCGTTTCCGTATGGAGTGCCGCTGGTGGAGCTCTGGCGACCTCATTGTTTGGTTTGTTGAGCGGTCGTGCACAACTGATGCCACTAGGTTGTGGCTACGCACGTCGGCTTGTCAGTTTTTGTCTGCCTCGCCACTGCGCGAAGTCCTGACAAGTTCGAGCGCACCTCCGCCCGCGCTTGCAGCCGCCGCCCTGTTTGTGGCTCGCCGATTCTTTCGGTGGCGATTTTACATGGCCCGATATTGCCTGATCGTCTCCCCCTACTTCCTTGCTCAGGGTTTGCCTGCCGTTTCCTTGGCGCCCGACCTCTGAGACCATTTGGCCTTGACTGCGCTCAGCGCCTGAACTGTTTGCTCCAACCGTAGTGCATAGTTGCTGCAGGGTGCATGGCTTCATCGATTGTCATGCCGCTCGTCGCCATCGGTCCAATGGCGGGAAGAAGAACATCCTCATCATCATAATCACTACCAGGCACTACCGCCATCATCATCGTCGTCATCACCATCTTCCTCGCGTGCTCTTCCTCCTGCTCCCCCTCCTACCCCAAGGAATGGGCGACGACGGCGACGGCGACGACGCCGACGACGCCGACGGCGGCGCGGTGGCGGCGGCGACGACGCCGACGACGACGGCGACGCAACGACGACGGCAGCTCCCGCGGTCACGGCCGCGGCGTCGGCGACGACGGCGGCAGCGGCGGCGGCGAAAGCGGCGCCGACGGCCGCGGCCACGGTGGCGCGACGGCGGAAGCGGCGACGTGGACGGCGGCGGCGGTGCCGAGCCGCCCTTTTGGTGGAGGCCGCTGCGAGGGCGCGTTGCCCGCAGGGGCCGCCGCCGGGGTCCTTGTTCAGTGCGATGTTCGGCGGGCTGCGGGGGGGCTGTCGCGGTCGTGCGTTTCCCCCCGTCGCCTCCCCGTCTTCCGCTTCCTCCTCTTCTTCTTTTCTCCCCCTCCTCCTGTTCCTCCTCCTCCTACTCCTCCTCCTCCTCGTCCTCCTCCTCCCCCTCCTCGTCCTCCTCATTCTCCACTTCCGCCTCCTTTCTCTTTCTCCTCCTCCTCCTCCCTCCTCCTCCTCCTCTCCCTCCCCCCCAACCTCCTCCTCAACCTCCTCCTACTCATCCTCCTCCTCCCCCTCCCTTTCCTGCTCCTCCTACTGCTCCTCCTCCTCCTCCTTCTCCTTCTCCGTCCGCTCCTCCTCCGCCTCCTCGTAGGCCTCTCGTCCTCCTCCTCCTCCTCCTTCTCCCTTCGCCCCCCCTCCCCTAGTCATTCTCCCTTTGTCTTCTTCCCTCTCCAGGGTACGGGGAAGGGCGCGGAGGAGCGGGCGACGGGGACGGGGAATTCCCAACTATTCGAAACCGTTTTTTTTTTTTTTTTTTTTTTTTTTTTTTTTTTTTTTTTTTTTTTTTTTTTTGTGTAAAAAAAAACAAACAATAAAAACCATTATTCTTATATATTATATATATATATATATATATATGTATATATATATATATATATATATATATATGCTCGTGCAGAACGAGGACGGTGAGGACAAAACGTACGAAAGAGACGTGGAGGTTTTTGAAGGAACTGTGCAGGGAAATGTGGACGGGTTCTCGAACGTTCTCCATCACCTTCGAGACGTGTTTGACGGCAGGACGGCAGGGAAAGGGCCAGGGTTGAGGAGGAGGGAGCGACGAAAATAATTGATGGGGAGCAGGATGGGGGACGGAACAATAATTGAGGAGGGACGATAATACTTAAAGAGGGGCGACACCATTTAATTGATGAGGGAAGTGAGGGTCAGAGGGAAGAAGGGCCGATATGGATGTGGATTTTTTCTATGTGCAAATGCATAGCGTACTCGACGCGTAGATCGTTCCCCTGAGACACTTTGTCTATGATCATACAGGTGTGGCATCGCCTCCACGTAGGCGGCATGCACGGCAATGCCGAGGACGACGGCGACAGTGACGTCCTTTTCTTGTGGGCGTTTTTTTTGACAGTCGGGGAAACACAACAGGACGAGCCAGGGCGGGTCCCTTGCCGACTTTCCCGCGTCAGCTCAAGCAAGCGCGCATGGTGTTGCTAAGACTGGTCTTTGGCGTGCAGTCCGGGGCGTTTTCTGGCACATTGGCGGCCCGAGTGCCACTCTGACCATGTTGCGGCAGCCATGTGCTTGTGAGCTTTAGTGCGAATGAAATTGGGTGAACGAGTACACCCCGCATACGATGGAACTTGAGTGTACGCGAGTCTGTATACATTCAGTGTGAGTACGAGTGGGCGTGCATATTAGTGAATCTGAGATCGACCAATTCTACGTGCGGCTGGGCATGAGTGTGAGTCAGTCTGAGTTTAGGTGAGCTGGAGTTTTGAGCGTGAGGAATGCAATGCAAGTCTTAGTATGAATGAGAATGGGGGCGGTTTTATATGCGGATGGATGAGTTTGGGGGCTTGTTAGCGTGAGCGTGAGCGAGGTAGAATCTGCATTGGTCTGGTCGCGGGCGAGTCGGAGTGTGAGAGGGTCTGAGTGTGAGCGAATAGGTCTAGGTGAGTCTGGGTGTTATCGAACACGAGTGTGGACGAGTCTGAATGTGATGAGTGCGTTGGATCGAGGAAGAGGTGCTGATGAGTAGGTCCGAGTGCAAATGCGTCCGTCTGAGTGGGACGAGGGAACGGATGTGATTGCGTGAGTGAGTGAAGAACATGCCAGCCCAATGAAAATGAAGGGGGTGGCAGAAACAGGCGAACCGCCAGAGACCCCCTCCAGTTTGGGCGCGAATCCTGAGGTGTCCCCACCCCTGGCCGTTCCGCCGTGAGGTGCCCAAGCGCCACCCACGCCTGCTATATCACGGAGAGCGCTGAGCTACAACAAAGAGAAACGTTTGAGGGAGCAACAACTGGCAAACCGCCGGAGGCATCCCCCTGGTCCAAGCGCGAACCTTGGGAGTGTCTCCGCCCCTGGCGGCTTCCCCTTGTTTCTCCTTGCCCACTCCCCCCCAAGTCGTGTGCGCTTGTTGCCAGCTATGTGACAGACATTGTATAGTCCGTTTCTGTACGTAGCCGTTCCGGCTTTAGCCAGCATGTTCTTTACAGGTGCTCTCGAGTGAGGGAGTCTGAAACATATCATCGTATCGGTCGCACGATTTCTCGCGATGCTGACAGTGGTAAGTGGAGCGTGGTTAGTGAAGATCTTCGTGAGGGTATGGCGTCAGATCTCTCCCGCTCCAGGGCACCCAGCAGGACGTCTGGCACTCTCAGGGCACCCGGCTCCAGAACCACCTGGGGAAGATCAGATCCAGGTACGTCAGATCCGTGGTTTCACGGCTTTGACCTTTGGCAATCAGGTCATGGAGCGTTCGTGGAGACCAGCCCAGAGGGAGATCAGCCTCCAGACCCACCCGCGGAAGCTCCAGCGAGCTCAGGCGCGGCAGGGTCAGGAGGCAACCGTCAAGATACGGCCCAGCCCGCCGACCAGTCCAATGACAGGCCCGACGACAAGCCCGGGCCTCAGGACTGGTGGGGTTCCGGGGCATGGGGCTGGACAGCTAAAATCGTATGGGAGTGGTCGCCTGGTTGGTGGCACAGCTCCCACACCGACGAGGACGCGTACTCCTGGAAATCCGAGGACTGGAAGAAGGTCGAGTGGAAGGACAGCACGTCCGATCTCGGCAGGACCAGAGACGACCCAGGACGTGGCGAAGACGGCCGAGATCGAGATGGCCGGCGCGATGGTGGCTCATGGTGGTCGAGGCCGTGGCATGCGAGCTCTTGGGAAGAAGAGAAGTCTAGGGACTACTCAGCCCCGCCGACCTGGCCCGGCATGCAGCATTTAGACATATACATTCACAATCTGCGGGCGTGGACCCGCAGGACGGCATTGAAGACCAGTCTGCAGGCTGATCGAGTGCTCGAGACGTTCCCTCTTGAGCTCCAGGCCAAGTTTAAGACGATCAGATTATCACTGGCCGCCGAGTCGGGACTCGACAAGCTAGTTGAGCATTTGACTCTGTTGTCGGGAGAGAGACCCGGCGACAAAGATCGGCAGATGCAGAACGAAGCACTATTCGACTATGTCATTAAGAAGGGTGAAAGTCTGACAGATTACGTGATAAGGCGCGACGGACAGTTGCTCCAGGCCGAGAGTGCAGGTCTTACTCCCGCGGACTCCATCAAGGCTCGCTATTACGAAGAAGGAGCCATGCTTTCTCATCAAAATCGAATCAATATCGCAACACTGGCTTGTGGAAAGAAAGATTTCTTATCTATCCGAGCTGCTCTTCTCAATCTGGACGTCTCGAATGGTCAGGCTGTGCTTCCGACGGCGACCACCTCGTCCAGGCCTCCGGGCAGGACGTGCATGCAGGAACTAGAAGAAGAAGAAGAGACGACGGCCGAGAAGGAGGACGATGCAGTCGTGGATCTCTTCGAGGCCGAGTTCAGTGAGTCCGAGGCGGATGGCTTCCTGATGGCGTTGGATCAGCAGGACCTCGCGGAGGACGAGGCCTATCATGTCTTTGCCCAACTCGTGGAGACCAAGCGCAAGCGCACCTGGAAGGAGTCGAAGGACATGAAGAACGCCCGTCGTATAGATCGGAATTTCTTCGATAGACGTCGTGGCAAGAAGATGGGCAAAAACGAGCTAAAGGAAATATCCAGATGCACGAACTGTGGACAGAAGGGCCACTGGGAAGAGGACTGCCGTAACCCTTACAGATCGAAAGAGGACCGGCTAAAAGAGGAAAGCAAGCCGCAGTCGAAGCCGGACAAGACTAACAGTTTCTACTTCAACGTGCGCGGCTTCGACGGCCCCACCTGCCTTGCCGCGTCCGAGGACGAGCTCCAGACGTGCGTCGGGGATTTGATCGGCGGCGCGTGGCTACCCGACGATGCCGAGCAGCTCGAGCTCGTCCTGGCCGAGGTTTCGCGGGAGCTGACCTTGGACAACCTGATGGGCTGCGCTCTCGTGGACACTGATGCGGGATCAGCCTTGGTAGGAGAACCGAATCTTGGGAACCTCAGGAAGGCCCTGAACCACGTCGGCTACGAGGTCCACGTGTCCTACGACATAGCCGATCTTCCTCCGGCCTGCGGAGTTGGGGGCAGAGTCAAGCCGGTAGGGCGAGCTTCGGTGCCTGTCACGATGTGCGGATGTGGGGTGGTGCAATTTCTTATCTTACCACGTGCATGCCCACCTCTCTTGCCCGCCAAGTTTTTGGAGTTTCTCAAGGCCAAGGTAGACATGAGCAGGGGCGCGATGTCGGTCGGGGCTGGCGACGGTCGTCGAGAGCTGGAGCTGCATCGCCTGCAATCAGGGCATCGTGCAGTATCTCCGGTGGGATGTCCTCCAGAGGATTTCAAGCTCAGTGACGACCTCGCCAAGCGCTTCCCCCCCTTCGTCATTCAGGGCCGTAGGGAGGGACAGGGCGCAGTGTTTGCTAGTCAGGTCTACTCGTTCCCTCCGTCTCTCTCTATGTCTCGACAGCGGGCCCACGATTCGAGGGCCCTTGATGGGACATCACCGTCACTACCCTTAGCTACTCTAGGCTCGAGCCGGGCCGGTGACTCAGGGAGCCAGCCCTTCAGTCTAATCAGTCAGTCAGACCATTCTCAGAGTCAGGCAAATCATGCCGGCTCGGGCGATCAGGAAGGCGAACTCGACGGTGCATCAGCTACGTCGAGGACCTCGCTCACTGTCGGCTCTGCGGCGCCGGACGAGCAAGGTGGTGAGCGGTCTTCCTCAGGTCGAGGAGGAGGGCGGCTCGGATCTCGAGATGGCCGAGAACTGGGAGGAGATACCAGATCCGTGGCGCGACACGGAGTTCCAGCATTTGGTGCACGACGAGATGCTCGATCCAGTGGACAAGGAGATGTTCTTCGAG